ACTGTGTTGCCTACAGAACCTTATCGGCATGTCTGGGGTGGGGAAGTGAGAGGATGTTTGAAAAGAAATAATTGGAGTTCACAATCAAGGGCTTTTTTTGAAGAGAATTGATTCCCAGATAGTAGAGGGATTGATGATAAAAGTCAGCAACTGAATTCTTAATGTTTGATTATCTAATTAAATAGAGCTGGGAAGGTATTGGCTTTCCCAGCCAGCAAAACTTTTTGAAATTTCCATTCTTTTTGCACATCAGGATAAACAAAGACAATTCAGAGTTTTTAATGGAAAATCCAGCCAGGGTCAATTCCTAGCCCTGTCAGGCTCAGGCTCAGGCTCAGGCTAAGGCTAAGGCTAAGGTTTTGGCCTGATACTGCTACTTTAAAATAAGAGTCTCTGCCTGCTTTAAGATTGAGAGCGCTCTCAATCTCTCTCCTCAAAGCTGTTCTATTGTATAGAAACAATTAGACAATCCTTGTACCCTGACTATCAGGCTACTTTGTCCTGACTCACTATCTTGTCTGTTTGACCTGAAATTCTCCTGCTGGGCTTCAGGCACTAGAACCCAGCTGTACTTGTGATCTATCTTGCAAGTCCACTCCGTGGTCTCACAGAGATTTTATGATTGATGATAGGGCTTCTCAGGTGTATCACAAACTTCATCCCTCTTTGGGGCTGCAGGTACCATTAGTCTTACCCTAGCACTACTTTGCCTTATGATAGTTCAGTGAAAACATCTCTCTTTTTTAATGGGCCTTTTCTTACACGGTAATTTTGGGTGGCTCCTGGAGCTCTTAACACTTGGATTGTCCACACATTAACACCTGAAAGTAGTTTTAAGCGCTTGTTACATGGCTCAAAGTTACGCCACTCCAGGGCAGGATTTTCTCTGGTCTATGTTACCCACCTCATGTGTGGCTACTCACCACAGAAGGGTCCCTGCAAGTTGAAGTCCTCCAGTATCCCAGTATGCAGTGTCCCTACTCCACTGTTCTGTGTGGACAAACTTTCCACCCTCTGAACTATACTATCCAGGGGCTGGTTCTAGCACCAAGTCAAGTCCTCCTCTCACCTCGGGGTGTGACCTTCTCACCCCGCAGGATGTAGCCCTGTGAAAACAGCTTGCCGAGCACATGGTGGCTAGCAAGCACAAACATTTTGTCAATTGACCTCCAACTCACTCAGACAGCATGAGCCAAAGGATGCCTGCCCTGGACCCATCAGGCAGGCATCTAATTGGAGCCAAGGTGAGGTGCTGGACCTTATCGTGATATGGGAAGAGGAGAGGACCATTGCAACTACAGGAAAAAGAAATAAGGGGACCTGGCAGAATCAGGCTGTTTATGAGAGGATTGCAGTGTAGATAGTGCCACACGGACATCAGAGGAACTGGCTCCAGGTCAGGACCAAGATAAAGTCCCTGAAATCTGTCCAAGTGAGGGGCAGAGACTCCCAACAGGGCAGCCAGGACCCTGATTTCCTTATGCAATAAGCTCCCAGAGATCCTTGAGAGGGATCATGCTGTGGCTCCTCACCACATGGTTCAATCCACAGTTTTGAGGCTGGTCTGCCATGACCAGCAAGAGGGGAACAGCAGTGAGGCAGCCTCCTCCCAGAAACTGCTGGCCCCCC